AAACATAAAAAATAAAACAATCCATCTCTATATCAACAATTATTCATTTAGAAAATATGACCTCAAACTTTTATGAATCAATAAATAATCTAATATATTTCACAGTCTCAGAAAGAACTTCCCCAACACATGAATCACTCCTTCATGGATAAAAACAACACAACACCAACAGTGATAACTCCGTGCTTGCGCGGGTGCATGATCCCTAGTAAAAGAAACATGTTACTCTAGTATCTAGTATCTTGAGTGGCTAGGACGAGAACACTACATGATCTTTAAATGTTTCTATCATTAAATATGATTAGTATATATTAAATTTAAGAAGACGAAACAAAAATCAATCAGCACAATAGTAGTTTAGTTATTAGAGCACCTTTAACCCCAAAATACCATTTGTGGTTCTTAACTTTTTTAAATCTTATTTAAAGAAAAAAAATTAACCAATCACGAGTCGTCACGTGTTAGTGGAACCCACAAACAATACAAGAACTTTACCAAGCTCACCTTTTGCGGGGTTCACAATTTTAACAAAATTGTGAAGCCCACCTCTTAAGAACTCACCTAAAAAATGAGGATAAAAACACTCTTAATATCTGAAGCTTCGAAGCTCTTTAATTTATTTATTTTGTTATATTCAAGGGAAATAATAATATGTTTTGTGATATTTAAGGTGCACGGTAACAAATCTTTTTTTTGTTACCGTAGAAGTTTAGAACCTTAAACTCATAATCCTCCTATATATTAAAAGAGAAGGCAATTACGTAGATTTTGCTTATGTGTCATTCATAAGTAGAATTAATTCTCATAATTATAGGATAAGTTTCCTTTTAAACAAATCAAGAGAATTAATTCTCTTAATTCTCTTAAATTAAGAACTAAACTAATCTTATAATTACATAATCTAATCTATGTTACCAAAAAAACAACTAAACATTTTAAATAAAAATGAATTAACACATAATTATTTATAGAAAAAAAATAATATAGTAAACTATATTTTAGAGATTTTAAAATATGCATATAAAAGTCATATGATATTAAAGAAACAACTATATAAAAATACTAAATCTATTTCTGTTAATAATGAATACAATAAATCATATATTGCAAAGAAAAACTAATTAACCCATACCTACTAATATTTATTATACTGACTCACTATATAAAATTTCTAAAAAATATCTCAATTGAATACAAAACAATCAAATATACAATTTTAAAAAATCGAGTCACTTTTTAGTGAAAAATGCTAATATTATAGCTAAGTTATCACTTTCAGAAATAGCTAAAGTATTTTTAATATTCAAAAACATAAAATTTATATGGTAAGTTGCTTAAAATAATATACTTAATTTTCTATTTTTTTGATAATATACATGTGTTTTTCGTATTACTATAACTCTAACTAATTATTTTATGTGTTATTGTAACATAAAGATAATTTAGGTAAAAAATATTAGTATGTATGATCATTTCTAAAATTAATAAGGTTGAAAATGAAAAAATAATGTTAATTGAAAGTAAAAAAGTTATTTAACAAAATTATTTACAGAAATAATATGAATATTTATGCTACACAAACTTATGTAATGTATGATAACAAAGTTCTAAAAATTTATACAAAACGAAACATGTTATTTTGTGTTCAAAAAACAAGAAACATTTTATTTTAATGTAATAATTTATGAAATCTCACGATAAGTATATATATCTAAAATAACGAAATTACATTATTTCAAAATTTAAATATTATTTTCTGAGAATTAGTTAGTCAAACTTTGTTAAAATAGGTTTGTATTAGAGTAATTTTTAATAATGAACATAATGGTTTTTTTTGTGCAAGAGATTTGTATAGAGTATACTAACAAAGTTCTAACAAATTCTATATAAATAGAAGCATATTATGTTTTTCAAAAATAAACATGTTATTTTGATGTAGTAAAATTATTGAATCGCACATAATATTAAGTATATATGTCTACAATAACAAATATTACATTATTTCAAAATTTAGATATTATTTTGGATATATAATTATTCAATCAATTTTTTAAAAATAGGTATAAATGTATTAAAGTAATTTAAAATAAATAAAACTAATGATTTAAAGAAGAATTCTTTAATAAAAATAATGGTCAAATGTATTGGTGTTTGATAAAATAGTGTGGTTACTCAAATAATTTCAGGATGAATTTATTCAATTATGAATTGTGATTTTTTTTTGTATTAAACACTAATTTAAAACTATGTAAGAGAGATTGATTTATGATTTGACAAATTTATGAAAACTTTGCAACTATTATGCCTCTAAGTAATAAAATGGTAAATAAAAATAATTCATTAACCTTTATTTATATGTTAATCATAATTTATATTATAAAAATGATCTTTCGTTACGCATTTCGATGAGATTTCGACGCCATTTTTCTGACGATAGATTTTGCGTTCACGTTTTCGACGTTCCGACGGAAGATTTGATCAATCAGAATTCCAACAAAATACCAACGACTATTCCAACAAATTTTCGACGGCCCTTTTTGACCGTTCAAAATTCCGATGGAATTCTGACGGTATTTTTGACCGTTTAGTATTCCGACGAACTTTGGACATTTTATCGGAATTCGGTCGGAATGTCGTTGGCTGTCGCCTGCCACTATCATCAATAAATACAAGCTCTCCACACAAATTTTTCCTCACCCACTCTTCATTCTCTCTTCAAACTCTACAAATCCAAAAATAACAATCATGTCTTATAGAAATCATTATCGATTGTGGATGGATAACCGTATTTGGATCCATACACCAATTTTCTTACGGATGAATACATGAAAGGTATTGGTGAATTCATGAGGCTTGTACAACAATCTCCAGAAGCAAAAACTGGTATGTTAAGATGTCCCTGCTCTTTATGCAATAATAGTAAGGTTATTAAGGAATGAGATGTTTGGACTCATTTATATATAAGTGGGTTTACACAGAGTTATAAAGTTTGGTATCTTCATGGGGAAACTGGTTATGAATATGGTAGTACTAGTGAACCTCAGCATGTGGATATGGTAGTTAGGGTAGAAGAACCTACAACGGATATAGATGATGGTGTAGGTATTAAGCATATGTTAAATGATCATTATAGAGGGGAAGAGCCGAATGCAGAATCTAGGAGTTTTTTTGGACATGTTATATGCAGGAAAACAACCTTTGTACGAAGGTTGTAGAGATGGTTCTCCCTTATTATCTACAACTAGATTGATGGGTATCAAGACAGATTATAATTTGGCAGAAGAATGCGTAGATGCGATTGCTGATATTGTTACAGATGTTCTACCGGAGGATTTTCTTGCACCGAGTTCATACTACGAGGTTCAAAAACTGGTAGCGGGTATTGGTTTACCGTATAAGGTGATAGATGTATGCATTGACAACTGCATGATCTGTTGGAGAGCGGATGAGAACCGGGATAGATGCAAATTTTGTGGGAAATCTCGTTATCAAGAAACGAGGGGAAGAGTACCGGTGGCATTCAAAAGGATGTGGTATTTTCCTTTGACGGAAAGACTGAAGAAGTTATATAAGTCTGAACGCACAGGCCAACCAATGAGATGGCATGCAGAGCACTCTACAGATGGTCAGATTAGACATCCTTCAGATGTAAAGCATGCAAAACATTTCCAAACAAAATATCAGTAATTCGCCCATGAGACATGAAATGTCTATCTGGGATTATGTATTGATGGTTTCATCCCATTTGGAAAGCATGGAAGACAATATTCACTATGGTCAGTGATTCTGATCCCGTACAACTTGCCGCACAATTTGTGCATACGAAGAGAGTTTTTGTTTCTCTCCATTCTCGTTCCCGGGCCAGTCCATCCTAAGAGATGACTTGATGTGTTTTTTCAGCCACTGATATATGAGTTGCAACATCTATGGGCGCATGGTGCTGAGACATGCGATATTTCGTGCAGACAAAACTTTCGGATGCGGGCAGTACTTATGTGAACAATAAGTGATTTTCCAGCATATGGGATGTTATCTGGATGGACAGCACATGGGAGACTATCATGTCCATATTGTCAAGATGACACAGATGCTTTCCAACTAAAACACGGAAGAAAAACGTGTTGGTTTAACTGTCACAGAAGATTTCTACCACCCGATCATCCATACCGTAGTAGAAGGACTTTGTTTACAAAGAACAAGCAGGTGTCTGACAGTCCACCAGAAGAAATTAATGGGGGAGGTTTTTTGACACATCTAAGGGATTTTGGTGCAGAAATGACGCCAGACGTTGGCGGACATGAAAATATTCGACTCGATGATGTTGGACAACTACACAATTGGCACAAAAAGAATATCTTCTGGGATCTGCCATGCTGGAAGGATCATCTGTTGCGGCATAATTTAGATGTCATGCATATTGAGAAAAACTTTTTTGATAATCTGATGAACACAATCCTTAACGTCCGAGATAAAACGAAAGATAATTTGAAATCAAGATTGGATTTAGTCAACATTTGTGATCGTTATGAACTTCACGTTGATGAGAACGGTGTGGCTCCTTTTCCCATATATCGGCTTGATGTAGCTGTGAAGAAAGTGTTCTTTGATTGGATTATCGATGAAGTAACCTTTCTAGATGCTTATTCGTCAAATTTGCGTAACATCGTCGACAAATCTGAAGGAAAATTTACTGACTTGAAGAATCATGATTCTCATATAATGATGTAGCGCCTCTTTCCGTTTTGTTTTTCTGGATTACTGTAAAAAAATTGTTCATGAAACAATTGCAAATATTTTTATTTTATCATTTTAAATTGGTTGTCATATTATTTATAAGTTTTATATGTATTTATATAGTTTTTTTTTCTTATATGCATGCAGGGATAAACGCTTTCTTCCACGATTTATGCAGTAGATCAATCACCAAATATGGTATTACTAACTTGAAGGCTACCATACCCGTGAGCATGTGCAACCTCAAAAAAATAAAATAAATGGGCCTAAGAACCTTGGTCTAAGTAATACCCAATCACACCCAAAGGTTTCTTATTAACTTTCAAATAGTAAAACATACAAACTTAACACACAAAAAAAAACCCAAACATAAACCCCGAAAACATCTTTCATTTCCTTTTCTCACATCCCGTATCACACACACAAAATCAAGAGTTAATCTTCCTGCAGTTCTTCCTGATCTCACCACTGGAACCTGTCAAGGGAGAGAGATTGCCCATCTTGATCATCGATTCCGCGAACTGCTCGAAGAACTCTTCTTGATCCTCTGCATATTTCTTCACAAGCTCGCTAGATTCCTCGTTGCTAGAGAATAAGACCTGGTCAGAATTCAAAAGTCCCATCTTCTCGATCAAGTTCTTGAAGTAGCTGTTATCAAACTTCCCGGCACTGTTGATGTCAAGCTCCGACAAGTTTTGGTCCCCACCTGATGGTGGACACCTCTGGCGCAAGTTAGCAGCGTAGGATTGCTCTAATGTTATGTCGGGACTTCCGTTTCCAGACTGGTTGTAAAGTCTTTGTCTGAAACTCGTGCATCTTGAGAATCCGATGGTGTGGCTCCCTGGGAAACAAGTGATAAATGTTTTAGGTTATAATGTTAACTTGAGAAGCACGTTAATTAAACACGATCATGTCTTTTCCTTGTGTGTGAAGTAAACTTACCAGAGAGGGCAACGAGGTCAGTGAGATCGAGACCTTGATTGGTAAAAGTGGAGAGAATTGTGTTGAAAGTGTTGTTGGGTGCAGGAATGTTGTTGTTTGAACCACTCAAGCTTGCACTTCTAGAATCTCTTCTTCCCAGAGGAACCATCCAGCTTGGTCCACCCGTCTACGCTCAAATCAAAACCAAATTAGATCTTGAAAACCTAAGAAATCAGTAAAGAGAAAAAGAAGCCGACTTACAAGAACAGAGGAGTCCCTAGCAGCTAGGGTTAACACATCAGCGCACGAAACAGTTCCAGGGCATTCATTCTCCAATGCAGCTTTGATCTGATCTACAACATCAAACCCACGAGCCGAGTTACTGTTTGGGTTTGAGCCTTTCTCAGTAACTATACTCCCACTGCTGTCTAGAAGCAACGAACCATCACAGCCCTACACATCCAATAATATTTTTTTTACATTAATCGTTACCTTGTGATGAGCAAGTAACTGTCTAAAAAAACTGTTGAGTACCTGAACAAAACAGTCGTGGAAATGAAGCCTCATTAGAGAAGCAGCCATACGAGCTTCTCTTACAACAGCTTGGGATACAACTGACCTCACGATCTCCTCGGCTTTAGGGCACGAGCTTCTATAGAAACCTGGGAATAGTTTTCCTTCACTGTCTTCATAGTTACTCTCGTCGTCGCAGATGCAGAGAGTAAGAAAACAAGCGAGAGAGAGAAGAATGAGGAAGCTTCTTGTTCTTGCCATCGTTTATTTCAACTTGGGAAAGAAGAGAGAAGACTAAGTGGTGATAAGAGATATGGAGGATGAGAAGAAGAAGAAGAATCAAAGGTATTTATAGGCAAGAGAGTTCGTGGAAACTTTGGTGTCATGGAGAAGGAGAGAAAGAAACTAAAGGCAACAGAGTTGGTAGCTTAATTGGTCATAATTAAGCAAGCGAGTTTTACAAAGAAACTATTGAAAGGTGGTTTGAAGTTAAGGAGACTAATTCTTGGGTTTGGTATCCATTCCAAATGTTCTAATCTTGCATGACTACTTTGACTATTTCACCGTCCTTTTAGGTCATTAGTTTTTAATTGTTACTTTTATGGAAAAAAAATAAGTTAGTTATCAGCTTTTACGTTTTTAAAACTAATTTATTATGATAATATAATTATAAAAAGAATTATATGGACGATTCGACAACCGACAATACTATATGTCTTATGAAGATTCACGCTTAATCTGATTACATAGACGATTCACCACCAAAGTCGTCCTATGAAAATCCATATCTGATCGGATTTACTTGTACTATGTTGAAATTTCTTATAAGCATTTTCTGTAGTATATATAATTATTTAATAAATCGTTTTCTCTGAGGATTGAAACTTTAATCTCTTATAATTTGCAATCTATAAAAAATTATATAGTTGAGGACTTGAACCCTAAATCTGGAATTGAAATTTTTAAATCTTAACCATTAAGATATCATATTTTCAAAACTTTTTAAGTTTTATATTAATGCAAGAAGTTAGAAGCACTGACCAAAATAGAGAAAAATATGGCATTACCACAGAGGAACCAGAACGTATGATCACGTTGCCGGTTGGTCACTNGTCACTCAGAAAATTTTGTAATTAGTTGAAGCTAAATCAAACAACTGAGATTCAGTTCCGAAAATGAGATCCACTCAGATCCAGTCTTGAAGAAATACTTATGAAACTAATGAAAGAAATATAATATCATAAATGATATTATCAAATATTGCATAATTATTGTATTAGACATTTACATATATTTGTATCTATCTAAATTGGGAAGCATTATTGGTAGACATATGTATGTTGTCCTAACTAAGGGCGGATTTAGGATTCCTTTTAGTTGGGGGCATAATACAAAAAAATCTCGAAAGCATTGAGAACGGAATGCACCTTTTACTTTTATTCAGTAAAACTAAAAACAAATGGTCATATTTATTTACATTATATAAGAAATATCAAAAATTAGCAGGAGACACGTCCCCGTACCATCAAGCTCCTTCTGCCCTTGGTCTTAACTATTATTCTCATGAAAATCAATACAATATTCTTCCAGTCTTCCACTCTCATCATTATCAACATGGTATTAGAGTTATAATGATTTAATGATCGATTCCGTTTGTATATTTTTTCTTTAAGCCATCGAGTTTTGTTATTTTCCGATTTCAAACCATTGAACTTCTTTTTATGTTCTTTTTATTAAACCCAATGTTTTCTGTTCTAATTCATCATGAACATCTGAATCTAAACCATCAAAGTTCTTTTATCCAAGTATATTATAGACTTCCAAATCTAAGTCAAGTGCTTCTACAATTCAAGCTTCAATGCTTTTGAATCTAAGCAACTGAATTTCGTCTGTTCCTAATCTAAGCAATTCAAGCTTAAACGCATTTCTAAATCTTTTGTTTTCATTTTCACCAACGATTTAGTGACAAACCACGCGGCAAATCTTAAGCGCGTTTTTTCAAAACTTGACACTAAAATTTTAAATCCTCCAGACGAACCTAACTATTATTAAAAGCCTAATATTGTTTTACCAAGTCGTGATTTAAGATCTCACAAGTCTTCTTTTCTGTTATAAACAAGTCGTGATAGAGTAGGAACAGTCTGTAACTGCTCTATTGAGAAAACAAAACAAGTGTAAAAAAAAACAAGTAATACCCTCAGAGTTTCATATGTCCATTGACTTCCAGACAAAAAAAAAACAGAAAACCAAAAGGGGCTTTATCCTTTTCTATAATAAGACATGGATATGCAGGTAAAAAGTAATATCAAAGGGTGAAGAAAGCTATGAACTTTCAACGTAATTTGCCATTCACACTTGCATTTCATTTTGACTCTTGACGTTGTCTCCTTCTAGAATCTTATGATTAAGAAACAATAACCAAAGCAGCATGTAATTCACGTAATAGGTAACTGAACCGCGTTATGTTTTCTATAAAGAACCGTGTCTAGAAACAGAAAGGCATCAAACGAGATTTAAAAACGGACCCTTTATATACGAAAAATATGATAATACTATGATCATCACGAAATAATACAAATTTAACGATTAGATTTTATAATAATGTTTAACAAAAAAAAATTCTCGAAATAAGAATTCTATCAACTTTTTTTTGGTTTAAAAATTCTATCAACTTCGTATTGGTATATCAACTTAATGTACATATCCGCCTGCTTTATATTTTTATCATATCGATATCCCAATACTTCACTCCGATCCTGATCTCTTCGATAAGATAAAGTTGTCTTCAAATTTATAAGTGATTGGTGTCCCTCGCGTGACTATAAGCTCTATGTTGTACTTTGACTGATAAGGTATTAGGGATCTGATTGTTATATCTCCTACCATAATGTTTTAAGAGATCTTTGACCAACATGTGAATTGGTAAATTTTCTTTCGCGTTTTCTTCTAATTAAGTAATTTGCCCACATTTGCAGACTTAATAATTTTACAAAAGAAAGTCTAAACAAATATATTATCAATTCAAAAATCATTGGAATAAATTATTTTTATGTTTTTGAAATATTTAATAATTAATTAAATATTATTTTTTGTATAAGTAAATTTATTTATTTTAATAAAATATCTAATTACATAAAATAAATTTGAAAACATTAATATATACATGAATTTAAATTTATTTTTAAAATATTCTGATGTAAATTAGTTGTTGATAACATAATATAGATTTTTTTTTAAGTAACGATGATTATCAAATTATTGATTTTTTAACTTATGTGTAAAATTATATTAATAAATATTTAATATTGCGATGTTAACTATTTTTTAATAACATAATATAGATCGTTATGATATCGATTATATCATATTAATGAAATTTGTTTATAGCTTATGGGTAATAATCATATATTTTTAAATCTAATCTAAATTTTTTATTAAGGGTAATAAAGACTTTAAAACTTTTAACTTTTAACATGAGAGCGAAAAAATCACTTCAAAATAATAGTATAAATATTTTGAACTCTTTGCCAATTTCTTTTCAAAAAATATCATAATGCTTGCTTTTGATTATCCTAAGAAATTTATCTTAAAAGATAGATGATTTCTTCTATCTTATGTGATATGTTTATTAAAATAGCGTTGATTTAATATTACTAAACCAAATATGATATAATCATATAGATAATATTTTAATATTACTAAATTTAAATATAATATGAATTTAACTATGATATTATCGTTAGAATTCTTAATTATCTTAAAGATAATCATAAATTATTAACTAGATAAATAAATTTCATATAATGATGTAAAAAAGTTTCAAATAATATTATAAATTTACATTTATGACTTGTCAGTCAAAATAATTAAAACCATGAAAAATACGTAAAATTATCTAAAATCATATAAAATTATGGAGAGCATGACAAATCAGTAAATTACTTCTATTAATAGTTATTAAATTCATTTTATTATAAAATTATTAGGGTATATTATGGAGTGCTATCCTAATCATTATTTTCTTATTTAATAAATTTTCACATAATGATGTTAAAAGTGTGAATAATAGTATAAATTTAAATTGATGACATTGGTCACAATCATTAAAAACATAACAAATAGGTAAAATTATCTAAAATCATGGAAAACATGATAAATCAACAAATTTACTTCTACAAAATAATATAGATAGATTGATTGCTAAGCACTCTTTTAAATATGATAGTACTTAGACAGTTATATACATTAATATATCTAATTATTATATTGAGTATGAAAAGATTACACTGAAACACAAAAAATATCATAATGATCAATTCCAAACAAATGATGTATTTTTTTTATCACAACACTGATGACCATTTGTTCTGAAGCTTCTGTAGTGCACTCGTAGGGAATTAGGGATAATGTCAAATAGTTGATGGTTCCCTTCAAAATATATAACAAATTTTAACTCATCACGATCACGGTAGTTGAGCATGTGTTTGATGGCTGATATGCTCAAATTAACCTTCAAGCTAATCTCTAAAATAAGAGGTTCGATGTAGTACTTGAGGATCGAATCCACAGAGACCAAATTTTACACTTTATTATTATAGGATCAATATTAAACTAAAACAATATGGGGTTTTAAAATAAAGAAAACGTAAGAAGCAAGTAACACGAGTTGATTTGGGTTTCAGATTAAAGAGAATGCTAGCCTAGGGTGAAAGATTGGGTATCAAACGATCATGAGCCAAACATCTATTCAAGGTTTTACTAAGCACAAGTCTAGAACTCAAAAGACAAATAAAAGTTGACCCACTCTCGTGGTATCTCCCTTTTTAACAATCAGCCTTAATACCTAAACTCTCGTTTGGACTAAAACATGAAAGCAAACATTAAGCATAGTTTCGATAAGTTCACAGCACGCCCTAACATCTACTTTCGTTGGTTAGGGACGAGCTGCCAATTCAAGTTATTTCTAGCAACCTAAAACACTTTTGATGAATAGATTAAACCTAGAATTAGGCACTAAGTAGCTAGTTTAATTCATGCAGTAAGTATATGCATGAATGAAGACAATCAAATAATGAACCTTATTTGTGTTTAGCTCATGTATCTAAATACCTTAACACCCTAGACTAAGCAAGCTAACTACTCAGCCATGAACAGAGAAAACACAGAGACAATGGATGAAGAAAACATTGATGAATCAATAGATAAATAAGATAGGGTTCAGAGGGTTCTTCTCTAAATCGAGAGAGGAAGTCTTCTCCCTTTACAAAGTAGCAAAATCACAATAATCCAAAAGCT